TCAAGGAAGAATGCAGGAAGTGACCTGGTCTGATATTAAGTCCTGTTTGATGTGATACAAGGAAGGGGATAAATTTTTTGAGATAGGTAAGAGGTGAACCTGCAGAATCTACATAAAGGGGATCTTGCTTTCTTGCTGGGTACAAGATCACCTGCTATGCTCAGATGCTTTTGGGGATACCACATATATTACTCATTTAATGCTTGCAATCAGAGCTGACACATATTACAGTGTACTAGACATGTCTCTCTGGGTGTTTCACATACTAACTCATTAACTTTTCTACAGGGTTGGTCATATTACTCCCTTCTATTTTATTTGTATTGAAATAGCATGCATGTAGAGAGGAGAGACGAGCAGAGGAGGATCTTTCATCTGCTGGTTTACTCCCTGCAGAACCAGGTCATAGCCAAGCTGATTCAGAGGCAGAAACCAGGACCCAGGAGCATCCTCTGGGTCTCCCATGTGAATGCAGGAGTCCAAGGACTTGGATTATTCTCTGCTTTCCCAAGCCATAAGCAGGAATCTGGATGGGAAGTGGAGCAGCCAATATACGAATTCGCACCTATCTAGGATGCTGACTCTTAAAGGTGGAGAATTAACCTGTTGAGCTGCCACGCCAGCCTTAATGCTGCCCTCTGTTGAGATGCAGAAAATGAAAGAGTTCAGCAGAGTGAAGCATTTGCTGAGAACCACAAACTACCAAACAGCACATCTGGGCTTCAAATCCCTTAGTCCAAAGTCCATGTTATTATCACCATATCATGTTTCATGCTTAAATAAGGAAGAGAAGCAAAGCAGAACAAGGAAGTGAAATGAAAGATAATTGTCAAAATATTGAAATTTAATTAACATGCAAACTCCATTTTGGCTCAACTATGACCATACAGGGTCCTGCAAATATTAATATTGGCTCTGGAATATGGGTTTCTACTGAAATCAATATGGCAAGAAAAATGAGAGAGGCTGTGACCCTGTAACTGGGTTCAGAACTAAGAAAAGCCCGCCTCATCGCATTTGCTTAAAGTGACAGAAATGACTGGATTTGCCTTCTTTGGCGCATCTGTTTCTCCCAGGGCACCGAAGTGTCTGCTTCTCTTTTACCCGCAGAAATACTACTGGAACGCTAGCTTTTGTATTGGGATGAATATTGTACAGTCAAAAGACAAAGTCGGGCTATATCACTTACTTGTTCAATGTTTGAGGATACTTCATAAAGTACTTAGAAAATGTACATTATGTAGGAGCTATGCATTAATTTAAAAAATTGTTTGCACTGAAATAAACTTATCTTTTAACTTTCCCTGTGTGTGTGTGTGTTTTTTTTTTTTAGAAGTACCCATATAGCTCTAATGCATCTTTGTCTTCCTTTTTCTGACTTGCAGCTAATTTTTACCAGGTGTACCACACAGATTCACAGTGAAAATCCAGTAAAACACTGTGCAAATAAATACTTTATGGTGTGCAAAGGATGTGCAAATGGTGTGTCTCGTTGTTCTCCTGCACAGTCAGCTTCTGAGAAACAGCCCCATGATTCTCAACTGTTTCCAACTTTCTTCTTCAGCTTTCATCTGGTTCTCCCTGTTTCCCAGGAAGCACAGGCTGTGCTCAGCAGTAATCACTGTTAACTGCCAAAGTATCACAGAGATACATCCCTAAGGTTAAATCTCAGGGAAACCCAAGGGAACAGAGTATTCTATAACATGGAGCTCTCACATTTTCATCTAAGATGCACATACTTCTGTTTCTGAAATCTGGGTACATCTCGTGATCCATGTGACAAGAAACCATAATGTAGAACAGATCAAATGTAATTCAGCACTTACTCTTCTGGGACTACATCTTTTCTAGTTTTGCTAGTTTAAAAAGATGAAAAGAAACGTATTATTTCTTATGAAAGCTTTCTAGATTATGAGTAAAGTTTTATTATAACACCAACTACTGCTGTTTGTTTATGAGTTGCATACAGCTGCTATCTTGTCACCATGGAGAATTCAACCATTGTGACAGAAACGGAACAGAACTTAAAGGCTAAAATGCTATCTAGTCATTTACAGAAAAAGGTTGCAGATGCTTATCACACTTTACTTAACGACATTTCATTTGTTCTGCTGGTTATATTGGAGTGGCTCAGAGAAACAATAACACTAGGATACAACCATTAGAACAATAAAGATAATAGAGAATATGTATTATGAAAAATCATGCATGAATTTCCAAAAAATGTTTTATGCAACAAAATAAACTTAAATTTTAATTCTATTTCTTCATGAACATTTTTAAGTGTGTGTGTGTGTGTGTATGTGCGTTTTTGTGTGTGTGTATGAGTGAAAAGAATTGGCTTTTCTTGTTACAGAAGCCTAACCATTCCACAATTTCCACCTGCTGGCCAGAGACTAGTCTATTTCACAACAACACCTGAAGGCTTGAAATCAAGGGAAGACCGTGGTGTATGTCTCGGTGTGTGAACAAAAGATCAATATCCCAGCTGAATCAGAGCATAACCACTTGTATGTTACTCTGCCCTCCAGTTCTATTCAGTCATTCAACAGACTGGATGATACCTACCCACACTGAGCTTGGCAATCTGCTTTCCTGAGTCCATCATGACAGAGGCTCATCCCATCCTGAATAGCCCTCAGGATATGCCACGTAATAACAGTTTGCCAAATATTTGAGCACCACATGACCCAGGCACAGTAACTGCCATAATGATAATTCTGATAATAGTTGAGTGGATCTTCAATACTAGTAGTTTTTGCTTGAAGTTAACTATTTTTTCACTCGCAGTTGGAAGAAAATACTTTGTTCAGCTGAAGAAACAAAATATAATTGAGTGTGATTGACTTTTTTTTGGTACCCTTTTGAACTAAATACCTTCAAAGCATAATAGCTTATTGCGTTTGTTTGAATTCTACAGAGCTCTTACTCAAAAAATGTCTATTCTTATATATGTTAGAGTAGAAATACTGGACTTTGTAATCAAACAGATGTAGAATTAAATTGCAGCCCTAAGTGACTGACGTGCTTCCTTGAGCCAAGTTTTGCTCCTCTGTAATTCTTAGAGTTGCTGATGGAAACAGTGAGGCACAAAGGATATGTGCAGCAAATTGTGTAGCATAGCATATTTGGAGTTCCATTTTTCTTTGTTCTTTACCTAGCTTGGTCCAGAAAAATTCATTTTTGCCTTTTTGAATCATTTTAATAATTCATAATTTTCCACCAAATGGTTTACAATCTAGTTATTCTTACGTTGTTAGAACTGTAGGTTATTAAAAAAAATGTTTCCTAACAAATGGAAGGATTTCTTTTGTTTTCTTTTTTTTAAAAATTTATTTCTTTATTGGAAAGTCAGATATACAGAGAGAAGGAGAGACAGAGAGGAAGATCTTTCATCCGATGACTCACTCCCCAAGTGATCGCAACGGCTGATGCTATGCAGGTCTGAAGCCAGGATCCAGGAACTTCTTCCAGATCTCCCACATGTGGGTGCAGGATCCCAAAGCTTTGGGCCGTCCTCGACTGCTTTCCCAGGCCACAAGCAGGGAGCTGGATGGGAAGTGGAGCTGTTGGTATTAGAACCGGCGCCCATATGGGGTCACACAGCCGGGCCCACAAATAGAAGGATTTCAAGACTAGTCATGACAACCCACTATAGAGCACGCTTGTGTGTCCAACAGAGTTCACAGTCAAACTCATGGAGTGAAGATCAAGAACAAGTTGCTTTCATTTTCCTCCTTTCAAAATTGAATTTATTTATTTGAGAGGCAGGGGAAGACAGGCAAGCCCCCATCCACTCGCCCACTCCACCAAATGTGTGCCATGGGAAGGAAGGCTATGTTGGACTGCCTCCAGGACCTCAGAATGACCCAAATCTCTCGGTGGGTGGAAAGAATTCAATTACTTGATGCCTCATCAGCTTCCCCATATCTGCACTGGTAGCAAGCTGGAGTTAGGAACTGGAGCTGGGAATCAAATCTAGACACTGCTTTGGGGGAAGTAGGCACCGTAACTACACCTCAGTGTGGTTCAAAAGCAACACTTCTCACTCACACCTTTTTGAAATCACTCTGTTATATAACTGGTTGGAGAGTATTCTTAAACTCCTAGGAAAAAAAATTCTGAGCTAGAAGTTGAGTCAAACATATATAGGAAAAAACCTGCATTTTCTATCACCTAAATGGTAACAAGGGGGCTCCTAAGATAAAACAAAAATTCTTTAGAAAGAAATGTGATATAACAAGCTCATTTTGGTAATGAGTTTTGGAGAATACAAATTAGAAGACTTGACTATCAGTTTATCGATAAAAGCACAGAATAGCTTACCTGTCATTGCTTACCAAGAGGACAAGAAAACAAACTAAAGAATTCTCATAGAACAATGCTCCCAGTGACTCTGATGTTGCACAACACTCTGAGTATAATACAGGGGCTTTTACTGATTGCAACAGAAGAGAGAACAGTCACATCCTCAGATGGGAAGTTCTGAGATTCCTTAACATTGGTTTCTCTCTCCTTTTCCTACTAAATATTTTGTTTTTGATTTTTTTTTGAGATTGTGTGTTTTAATTTTCACAACAGTCAAGGCTTAATGGCTCCACTAAATAAAGAGTTCAATCAATGAAAAATAAAAATACCATACTTCAGCAGGAGAATAGGCAAGGGTTATAAACAATAAGAATCTCATCTTCACTCATATAAATTCTAAAAGGTTGCGGTGCCTCATGTTTATCTCCAGAAGTTGACACAGGCTTCTAGACTTCCAGGTACTCATTCTTGACTTAGATGTAAAAAATTCTGGGGAATATCTCTGATTTGCTGCTTTCATTCACCCCCTCACTTTCTGGAGGCGAGGTTCTAAGAATGCCCTTGAAAGTTCACATACTTATCCTTTACCAGTTGCTTGCTAATGGTGCATCACGCATGGCGCCACTCCCATCTGATGTTAGAAGAATGAAGTTCTTCCCCAAAAGGGGAAGGAAACCCACAGATCGAGGCATCAGGGAGTTGTAGCCTCCTCAGCTACTGTGCTGCTCTAGGTCTGAGTCAAGGACAGCTGATGTGCGTGCCCACAACCACAGGGCGCTTGAAATCTTGCTGAGGAGGAGGAACAGCTTCACAGATATTATCCCATGAAGACCTCAAGGAGAGAATGTCCACCCTGGGGAGCGGAAATGTCCGTGACCCCAATCTTGTTCAAACTGTATGACAAGACATAATCATACAATCATTAAAACCAAATGTTCAAATAGATGCACACATTTACCCAGATACACTCGTATTACAAAAAGTTGATTTGGGACCCTACAATGACTCAATGGGGAAAAGAGGTGCTGAATTTGAACAGCGGGTATTTACAGAAGAAAAGGGGGTGGAGTCTCTCTAAGGAGAGACTTCTCGGCAGTGCGAATTCTTCAGAGAACAGCCATCATGTAGTGCATGAGCAGTGCGAATCTGCAGCGGTGGGCAGGAACATCACTGGCGACCCCCATGGTGGTCTGTGGGGTGCAGGTTGGGCCCTGGACATTCCAGCTTCTGAGACCAAAATGAGAGCAGATGGCAACAGCCAGGGTCACAGCGATACTGCTCGAGGCAGCATATTGCATACCACAATTTGACTCTGACCTGCAGCCATGGCAGGGAGCACTCCCTGTGGAGGAAAAGCACATTTCTTCCGCCTCACCCTCCAACAAACGAGCCTGGTGACCAGAGAGGAGAGAGCACTACCTCAGTGCCATTAAAAGTTGCGGCAGCTTTAGCACACATGTGCCCGTGCCCATCAACCAGGGGATTTATGAGAAGGATAAATTTGCATTTCCCACTGACTTTGAGTCTGGCCTGGAGGCGTAGCAGGGGGCTGGGTCCTGACTTAGGACAGTGAGGTATGTATTACTCCCCACCCTGTTACAGACCCTGGGGGCTCAAACTGCCAAGGCGAACCCATTCATTTCCAGCTGGTTCTGGGACTACTTCTCTTTTCTCTGTGGGCGGGGTAGGCTCAAGGGGCTGGGTGAATCCTCTACATCCTGTCATTGTGGGAGCTTTGTATGCTATGACCATAGGAATTCTGTGACTGCATGACAGGGTGTGTCATGTAGCTGGGTCACTGGGCAATCACCATGTCTGGCTTCAAAGGCTCAGAGGTAAAAGGTCAGATGTCATGTTTGTTCAAATGTAAGATAACATCCATTTAAAATACACAACAAAAACAACAAAGAGGAGAACAAATAAACACATGTAACCCTAAAATCGAAAGATATAATGGAGACCAGACTACCAGGAATCAAAGAAAATCAACAGACTGAATTTCTACAGGAATGCAGGTAAACCTATATCTAATTTTAAGAGATTGTGCCCTGATGATGCTCAATGTTAACAACAGTAGGGGTGGTTTGCACATCATCTTAGGGAACGGCTCTCTCCTGCTTCAATTTGCAGTATCATGGTGTCAAATCTGACTATTTTACCCGTGAATTTTACCTATAACTTCCTAGTTATTTGTGTCTTTCTCAATAAGATCTTAATATTTGTATCTTTCTCAATGAGCTCTTGTGATTTGATTCATTAATCAATCATCTGTAAGAGACTGATTGCTTGTAAACACCTGAGATTGTTAATGTCCCCTTTATCACTGTTATTGCTACTTATCATGAGTAATGATGTCCTAGTCCTTATCGTACTTTTTTTAGCATCACATGGCTCATGTTCTGGCTATTCCTACATGAAGGTCCTTGATACTCTTTCACCACCCTAGCAACACATTGGTATTTTGGTTGCATGTTTGTTAACTTCTTGTAGATGAAAGTTCACTATTTTTCTCCGCATTGCGGACTGTGTACACTGGCTTTGGATTTAAGGGGATGCTTAATGGAAGGGTAGCAGAAAATGATATGTTCAGAGATGGGAACAGAACACAGTATGTCTCTATGCCTACAGTACCAGGATGGACTCCCAGTGATATGGCTCATAATGTCCTGACAGTTGATGTTGGACTCTCCAACACTGTCCATGTTGGAAGACACTTCAGTGGCAGCATGATGGACTTATGAAAATTCATGAAAGACACTCACTGTAAAACTGGAGGGGACATCAGCGGGGAAAGGAGGAACCTTGGGAACGGGGAGGGGAAACCCCACTGCCTATTAAACTGTGTCATAAAACAAAATAAAAAAACATTTTTTTAAAGAAACCAAAAAAAAAAATAATAGATTCAAAGATAACAAATTGCCTAGGTGGATCATTACAGGGTTCTACAATCACACTGAGGAGAGCACAGATCCTTTGTACTGCTCATGTGTCTCTTTGGTTTGGGAGAGTTCAGCCACTATGGGATAAACCTGGGTATTGATCAACTTTGATGTGAGTGAGGCTGTGGTTATGCTAGCAGATGTGCTCGTACTTGCCTCCCTCAGACAATAGAGAGTTGACATGCCCAAGTGGGGAGTTACCATGGACTCTGACCCCATCATTGAGGATTGACTAGACATCCTTGGCCTTACCCAACAAACACCTCTGGATAGCCAATGAAGAAATACAATACTGTGCACAAAAGAAGGTGAAAAAAAGGCCTTCCAAAACAAATAGACACTAAAGGAAGCTGTCATCACCCATCCAGCTTTCAAAAAAAAATGTTTGAGGATATTCTACATGCAGAAACAGAGAATAATGATCATAATGAAAAAAAAAATGTGAAGGTGGAAAATCTGGCAATGACACAAGGGAAATCCAAAGTAAACAATAGCACTGTTTATGGAAAAAACGTAGGACTAAGCTACAACCTCTCAATAGTCCTGAAAGAAAATGCCTTCAACTCTCCAATCAAAGGATAGAGGGTGGCTGAATGGATTACAAAATAAGACCCATCTATTTGCTGCAGGGATGGTTCAACATAGAAATAATCAATAAATGTTATACATCACATTAACAAGTTGAAGAATGAAAACCACATGATTATTTCAATAGGCACAGAGAAAGCATTTGTAAAAATACAACACCATTTCAACATAAAAATCTTAGGCCATTTTTGCGTAGAAGAAACGTTCTTCAGTGCAATCAAGGCAATTTATGACAAAGCCACCTCCAATGTCCATTAACTGGTGAAAAATTGGAGGCACTTTAAGATCTAGAAGCAGACAAGGATGCATATTTTTACCTCTGCTATTCTATATAGTTCTGAATCTTTTAACAAGGGCCATCAGACAAGAAAAGCAAATGAAAATAATACAAACCAGAGGCACTCAAATTATTTCTGTGTGCAGATAACATGATCCTCAATAAAGGGAAACCAAGAGATTATTGGAACTCTTAAGAGTATTTGGTAACGTTGCAGGATAAAAAAAATTAACACACAAAGATCAACAGCTTTCATATAGCATATTATATCTCATAAAACTTAAAGTCAACCCCATTCACAAGAGTAGATACAAATTTAAATGCTTGGGAATAAATTTAACTAAAGGTGTGAATGATCTCCATAATGCAAATTCAAAAACATTAAAGAAAGAAATAGAAGACAAAAACAATGAGAGTCATCCATGTCTGTGTGTTGGAAGAATATTATTAAAATGTCCATACTTGTGAAAGAAATATACAGATCCAATATGATCCCAATCCAAATGTTAACATTCTCAGTTCTAGAGAAACCCATGCTAAAATTCATATGCAAATACAGGAAATTCCAAATAACTAAACATTAAACGATGGTGAACTAATGTTAAGCAATGAAAACAAAGCCAGAAGCATCAAAATACCCGACACTGAGATGAACTACAGAGCAGTAGGAATAAAAATATCCTAGTGCCAGAGGAAAAAATAGACATGTAGACTTATAGAACAGAAATAGAAACCCCGGGTGTTAATTTCATGCATCTACAATGAAATAATCTTTGACAAAGGAGTTGAAATCAAACCCTGGTGAGAGGACTATCTCCTCAACAAATGTTTTTGGGATAACTGGATCTACATATGTGGAAATGGTCTTCAAAATCCCCAACCTGCATCCTTTTGAAACAAAAATTGATTCAAAATGGGTCAAGGATTTAAATCTGTGACATTCTACTATCAAATTCACTAGACAAAAACATTTGAGAAATTCTGCAAGATTAGTATAGGCAATGACTTCTTGGAAAAACCCAAAAGATTGGCAATAAAGACAAGAATTGGCAAATGGGATTACATCAAGCTAAGAAACTTCTGCACAGGAAAGGAAGCACTCAATAATGTGAAGGGCTACCAACTGAATGGGAAAAATATTTGCAAATCATGCAGCTGATCAACTATTAAACTCTTGGATCTATAGGAGCTCCAAAACACAGCAACAAAACAAACAATGCTGTTAAGAATGAGCAAAGTATATTGACAGGGAATTTTTAAAGGATGAAATGTCCGCTAACACATGGAAAAATGCTCAGGATTACCAGCCAGCCATCAGAGAAATGCAAATAAAAGCCACAGCGAGATCGCATATCAACAGAATTAGAATGGCTGTCATACGAAAAAGTAAAAACAATGAATGCTGGTAGGATGTAGGGGGAAAAGATATTATAGTTTATTAGTGGGACTGTAAACTAGCACACCGTTATGGAAGACTGTGTACAGATCCCTCAAATATTTACAAAGAGAATTACTACATGACCTAATCATCCCACTCCTGGGAATTTACCCAAATGAAATGAAATCAGCATATGAAATAATTACTTGGGCCCTCATGTTCATGACAGTTAAATTCACAATAGCTGTGGTGTGGAATTAACTCAGATGCTCATCAAGTGAAGACTAGAAAAGAAAATGTGGAATATTTACATCGTGGAATACTACTTAGTCAAAAAAAATAATGAAATACTGTCTTTTGCAACAAAATGGATACAACTGCAAGCTATTACCCTAGGTGGAAAAACCAGTCTCAAAAACACAAATTGCTGCCCAGTGCAGTGGCCTAGCAGCTAAAGTCCTTGCCACGTGTGCACCAGGAACCCATATGAGCACCAATTCTATTCCACCTGCCTGCTTCCCATCCAGCTTCTGCTTGTGGTCTGGGAAGGCAGTTAAGGATGGCCCAAACTTGGAACCCTGCAACCACCTGGGAGATCTGGAAGAGGCTCAGGCTCTTGGCTCCAGATTGGCTCAGCTCCGGCAGTTGCAGCTGCTTGTGGAGTGAATCATGGGACACAAGGTCTTCCTCACTGTCTCTACTCCTCTCTCT